GCGAGAGCTGGGGCTGGGGGTTAGGACCGCTGTGAGGGTGCGGCCTCCTGTGCCCGACCCAGGTTCTATTCCTGGCACCACGTGATATCACCGGGGCCAGGTCTGGACACTGGAACATTTCTGGGTCCCAGCAGACTGCTGGGATAGCGGCGCACACACAGACCTTTGCATTGCATTCATGGCTCCGTTGGCTAGGCTCGAGGACCGCTTGGAAGATCCCTCTGTCCACTGTCCACTGTCCTCCCAGGGGAAGGCCCCTGTTTCCTCCCGGTTTCAGCCAGCACCAGCATTCTGAAGAGATGTCCTCACGGGACAGTTTCTATATATGCTAGGCTCGCGCTGGTTCCTTAGATGGTCTTCTGGCTACGTTATCCTCCTGTCAAAGGGGACAGAGAAGATGACTGGGGTTGGAGGCAGGGGGGGCATTGATTGGGCCATGCCAGGGGTTGCTCCTGGCACTGCTTGGATTGGACCAGGTGGCACCTGAACCTCTGGCCCAGATGACTAGGTGTTGACTGTAAATTTTTTTTTTTTTTTTTTTTTGCTTTTTGGGTCATACCCGGGCTGGAGCGATAGTACAGCGGTAGGGTGTTTGCTTTGTGCGCAGCCAGCCTGGCCAAGCCGGGTTCGATTCCTGTGCCCCTCTTGGAGATCCCGGCAAGCTACCGAGAGTATCTTGCCCGCACGGCAAAGCCTGGCAAGCTCCCTGTGACGTATTCAATATGCCAAACACAGTAACAAGAAGTCTCAAAATGGAGACATTACTGGGCCCACTTGAGCAAATATCGATGAACAACGGGAGGACAGTGTTTGTTTGTGTGTTTGGGTCACACCCAATGATGCACAGGGGTTATTCCTGGTTCTGCACTCAGGAATGACTCCTGGTGGTGCTCGGGGGACCATAAGGGATGCTGAGAATCAAACCCGGGTCGGCCGTGTGCAAGGCAAACGCCCTACCCGCTGTGCTAGCGCTCCAGCCCCAAAGTATGAATCTTTTTGTCCCAATGGCAGCTGGCAGGGGAACGGAACCCGCGAGCAGCGTGACCGCGGCTGAAGGGGGCCTGGTGATGGGGAGCAGGGGGCCGAGGGGCTGCTTTGTTCTGCGTGCTTTGGGCTCTGTGGGAATCCTCCAGCCGTGTTTATGTGCAGGGCTGTGTGGCAACGAACCTCAAGTGTGGTTTGGCTCACTGTTGAAAGTCAAAAGTCGGGGCTGGAGCAATAGTACAAGTGGGTAGGGCGTTTGCCTTGCACACAGCAGATCCGGATTCGATTCCCAGCATCCCATATGGTTCCCTGAGCACTGCCAGGAGTAATTTCTGAGTGCATGAGCCAGGAGTAGCCCCTGTGCATCTCCGGGTGTGACCCAAAAAGCAAAAATAAATAAATAAATAAATAAATAAATAAAAAGTCAAGAGTTGGGGGCACTTTCCGACTGAGGCTCAGATGGGTGGTTTCTGTTGGTTGGTTTTGGGGTCACCTCCGGCCATGCTTGGGGTTTCTGACTCTGGGGTCAGAGATCTCTTCAGGACCAGATGTGGTGCCCGGGATCAAACCCGGGTCAACCCTGCCATCACATCTCGCTGGCCTCCAGCGTTCTGTGGCCGCCAGGGAGAACTGCAGTCACCATGGGCAGGGGTGGCCCCTGGCCCCTGTGCCCCTGTGCCCTGCAGCCTTTCTTTTAGTTCTGTCAGGAAAACGGCATCTGGGGTCCCGTTGTTAAGCCTTGGGGACAGATGGAGGATTAGTCATGAGGAGCTCGGAGGCAGAGATCTCTTTATTGTGGGTGCACCTGTACGTATTTGGGGAGTGCTTCCGGATCTGTGTTTGGGAGGGTCACTCCAGCAGTGTTTAGGGGACCATGCGGTGTCATGTGTAAGGGAAGAGCCTTAACTTTTCCACTTTCTCTCTCGCTCCAACCATCCTTACAATGTAAAAAGTAAAAGTAAAGGCCCTCCCGTTGATCGTCGATTTGCTCGAGCGGGCCCAGTAACGTCTCCATTGGAGACTTTGTTGTTACTGTGTCTGGCATATCGAATACTCTCGATAGCTTGCCGGGCTCTGAATTCAACTTCTCCTTTCTTGGGAGACAGTCAGCGTTCTATTAGCCATTTCAACTTAGCCATTTCAGCATTGGCCAGTTTTTTGTTGTTGTTGTACCCAGTGATGCTAGGGGGTTTAGTTCTGGCTCTGCCTGAGGAAATACTCCTGGTATTATTGTATGACTGAAACCCAATCATGAACAACTCCGTAACTCTGTATCTCATTGTCATTCAATTGAAAAAACAAAATAAAATATAAAATAAAATACTCCTGGTGTTGCTCAGGGGACCATATGGGACCATCAAACCTGGGTTGGGCACCTGCAAGGCAAATGTCTTACCCTCTGCCCTTCGCTGTCAGTTCCATATCTGTGAACTGAATCTTGGCTTTGAGATGCCTCAGGCCCATTATTGGTACACTGGAAGGAGTTGGCTTGGCTGTGAAAACGTCATTCCTGGTTTCCCCATTCTCTGCCTTGCTCCCGTGTGTATTGAAATACAATTCTGCACCAGGCTTCTGGTCTCGCTTTGTCTAGCCCAAGGCAGCCAGAGGGTGTCTAAAATCCAGGTGTCCTCCCAGATGCCGGAGGAATGAATGTGTGTGCTGACCCCAAGGAGACCCCATAAATCGGTGGTGCTGTTACTCAGCCCCACCCAGCCTCCCAAACCATTCCTAGCTGCGGGCACTTGGGGCTTTTTGCAACAGTTAATATTGACAAGATTCATTCATTCTTTGGAAGTGATTTTCTTGGCTGATTTCTTAATTGAAAGCTCATTTCTCTCCTAGATTGAAACTTTTCCAGAAAAGAAAAGAAATAGAAACATGTCTTTACTTTGGAGCAAAAAAAAAAGGCAACAATGAAAGTATAAAAATAGTTCACTGGCTGGAGCGTTCTGTTAGGGAGGGCAGAGAGGAACCAAGGTCTCTTTTATTTTTGATTTTAATAAATTTATTCATGATGATTTCTTACATTCAGTATTCCAACACCAATCCCACCACCATTGCACCTTCCAATCACCAATATTTTCAACTTTCTCACCCACCACCCAAGCCTGCCCCAGTTGCAGGCCCTAAATAATTTATTTTATATTACTTGTTATGAATAATTTGCTAAAAATGATCAAAACAGGTTTCCGGGGCTGGAGTGATAGCACAGCGGGGAGGGCGTTTGTCTTGCATGCAGCCAACCTGTGTTTGGTCCCTAGCACCCCATATGGTCCTCCGAGCATCGCCAGGAGTGATTCCTGAGTACAGAACCAGGAGTAGACCCTGAACATTGCCAGTTGTAACCCAAAAAAGCAAAAAAAAAAAAGTTTCTTTAGAAGAAAGGGCTGGAGCCATAGCACAGTGAATAGGGCATTTGCCTTGCATGCGGCCAACCCGGGTTTGATTCCTCCGCCCCTCTCGGAGAGTCCGGCAAGCTACCGAGAGTATCTCGCTTGCACGGCAAAGCCTGGCAAGCTCCCCGTGATGTATTCAATATGCCCAAAACAGTAACAAGTCTCACAATGGAGACGTTACTGGTGCCCACTCGAGCAAATCGATGAACAATGGGAGGACAGTGCTACAGTTAGAAGAAAGATTGTGAGGTTTGGTTTATCTCACCCAGTGGTTTATCTCAGCCATGAAGTCCTCGTATAGGAGATTCCTAACGTGTAACAGGGTAAGCCTGTGTGGAAACATGGTTTTGGGAGTCCCCCTGCCATGGGCTGTGTTCCTGCAGGAAAGATGGGCATGTTGCTTTGTGTCTACCCAAGATCACCCGTGATCACCCATTTCTAGCCGGCAAACGAGGTTTTAAATCTGGCCTGTGTGGCCTCATCGTGTGGTTTGTCCCCAAGTACTATGGGGGAAGGTACTTTGGTGCTTCCTCCTTGAGCAAAGGCTGGTATATTTTTAACCCCTGTCCTTTTAGCCCCAAACATTTCAAGTGTTTTATACAATAGCAGCTGGGAAAATAGGGGTACAGACATTTTCACATGTGTAGACTTGGGGACGGGCCGTTGGAGACAAGAGTGCAAGTCATACCCACCCCAAGGCTTATTTTTGCTCAGGATGGACTTGCTGGCATTTGCTTTGACTTTTCTTTTCTTTCTTTTTTCTTTTTTTTTTTTTGCTTTTTGGGTCAAACTCGGCGATGCACAGGGGTTCCTCCTGACTCTGCGCTCAGGAATTACCCCTGGCGGTACTCAGGAGACCATAGGGATGCTGGGAATGGAACCCGGGTCGGCCGCATGCAAGGCAAACGCCCTACCCGCTGTGCTATCGCTCCAGCCCCTGGCTTTGACTTTTCAAGACACCGTGCCAACATAATCTTTCCCTGGGTGCCCAAGTGGCACTGCCCCAGATGTTGCACCTGTGGGGGTGTTTCCTCTTCCCGGTGTGGGTCCGTGGTGTGGGTCCCCCCAGGAAGTGAGCTCCCTGCTGGAGAGAGAGATAAGGCTGAAGTTCAGGCTGTGAGGGCCGGAGGTACGAGACGAGGCCGCTGAGTCAGGCTTCCTGGGAGGAGGACTTGGGTGAGCCCCAGGACTTCCTGTGAGCTGAGCAGTGGACAGTGGGTGGGTGGGGGAGAGGTCACAGGTGCCTTCTGAGCCTCAGTTTCCCCATCTGGGAAAGGAAGAGCCTGCCTGCTTCTCAAGGGGGTTTCGGGGCTGGAGTGGGCTCTGGGTGCAAGGTCACGCATAGCTCCTGTGACTCATGGTAACTAGCACAGTGATGGGGGATTGCGGGGGCCTGATGGGGGGTTGCGGGGGTGTGATGGGGTGCGGGGGCGTGACGGGGGCTACGGGGCTGTGGTGGGGGCTACAGGGATGTTCTCTGCAGACATCTGTGGGTTGGGGTCACTTCCAGTGGTGATGGGGTCCCTGGGCACATGCCTGGGGCCCCCACCTGGGCATGCTCTCTGCACGTGGCCAAGTGCCTTCTTTTGGGGTATGCTCAGGCTCCACCTTGTCTTGCAGACATCCACGACAGTGATGGGGGCTCGAGCAGCAGCAACCAGAACCCCAGGAGCACAGCCAAGTGGGCAGCCTCCTTGGAGAACCTGCTGGAAGACCCAGAAGGCGTGAAGAGATTCCGGGTTTGCCTTATTCATTTATTGTCCGGGATGGCTGCAGCATATATATGTGTGTGTGTGTGTGTGTGTGTGTGTGTGTGTGTGTGTGTGTGTGCGTGAGGGCCCGTGTGTGTGCATTTACAAAAACAAAACCACTTTTCCAACTTGAAAGAATAAAATCCTATGTAACCCTGGTTTGGCCCCAGGGGCATGCACAGACTATTTTGGGCTTTTTTTGGGGGAGGGGAGGGGGCTGGTACCTTCCAAGTGATGCTCAGGGGTGCCCAGCGGACCCCTCCTGGCAATTCTCGGCCAATCAAGGCTGAATCACCCCAGGATGCAGTGCCAGGGTGTTGGGACCATCCCCGTGGTTTTTGGGCTAGTTGGAATTCTTCTGAGTGGACTGGGGCTGGGGGAGTGATGAGAAAGAATCCCTCGCTGTGCCCCAGGAGAGGCCTTCGGGATTCACATGCTGGGAAGGTTCTCAGGTGTCTGCGAGTCTCGGGCAGATGATTAGTAGAACAGTGGCAGTAGCCGGCAAGGCCAAGCTGCGCTCCCAGAACAGGGCTGACAGGCGGAAGCATCCAGACAGCCTGGCAGGCATATTTCAGCTCCCAGAACCCAGTGTCAGGGACCACGTGTGCATTTCAGGAATGCTCGGGATTGGCCTGCGAGTGCCACCTTCATGCAGGGCAGACCAGGGTAGACCACAGGCTCCTGGTCCCTGGGGAGAGCCAGTGGGCAGGCCCCTGTGGCCGCTGGCCAGTGCCCGGCACGGAATAGCTGACCCTGTGACGGCCCCCATCATCCACCCAATGGAAACACCTCCAACTTAAAATAGTTCTCCTCCTGCGTTTGTAGACATGCATAATATATTTTCTTTCCTTTTGTTTAAAAAAATATGGGTCTGATTTTGGAGGAATGTAACTTTTGTTTAAACACTGTCTGAAAGGAACTCATAAATCGTCCATTTTAATTTACTTTTTGGTAATTTATTGTCAGCTGTGAATTGTGAGCAGAGCCTCGTGCTCCATTGTGACTCTTTTTTACAGTGTGAAAGCCAAGTTCAAATGCTCACAAAATTCTCAGGTTAATGCTAAACATTGCCCCTCTATTTCGGCCTGGGAACCTGCATTCGGCCCATGCTGAGCTCATCGGGTGAACGTTTTCCTCCATCCTTGACGGGGATGTTTGATTGGTTTTTATTCTTTTTGAAGGGGACTGTTAATATTTTTCTATTCTTTTTATCCCTAGGAATTTTTGAAGAAGGAATTCAGTGAAGAAAATGTTTTATTTTGGCTAGCATGTGAAGATTTTAAGAAAACACAAGATAAAAAGCAGGTATTTCTATTTACTGCTCTTTTTTGTTTGGGGGCACAGCCCAGCGGTGCTCAGGGTTCACTCCTGGTGGTATTCAGGGGATCATACACAGTGCAGGGGGTTGAACCCTTGCAAGGCAAGTGCGTACCCATTGGACTATCTCTTGGGCCCCAAAAAGCAGATTATTTCAATGGATCCCTTTGTTGGCTATTTTCTTCTCTTAGAAACTGTCAGCTGTATTTCCAATAGATTTTGAAACTGACCTAAAAAAGTCAAATCTGTAATGGAATTTTGGGGCAGGTGGTTTGGATCACCCGTGGGGTGCTCATCGCTTACTCCTGGCTCTGCGCTTAGGGATCAGCCCTTGTGGGCTGGGGAGAATGATATGGGGTTCGACCAGGGTTCAGACCCAGGTCAGCCACTTGTAAGACAAGAGCCTTACCCACTGCGCTATTTCTCCGTAATGGGCCTGGGAGCAGGAATGACCCTTCAGGACCTTGACTTGGTGCCCTCGTCATAAATCCAGTGAGTGTGGCGATCCATCTTAATTTTATCTTTATTTTATATTTTGTTTTGGTTTTGAGGGCGGTGCTTAGGGTTTACTCCTGGCTCTGTGCTCAGGGATCACTCCTGGTAGTGCTCAGGGGACCATACAAGGTACCGGGGATCGAACCCAGGTAGGCCACATGCAAGGCAAGCTCCCTGTGGGTTATCCCCTCTCTTAGACCCAGGAATCCTTGGGTCACACCTAGGGATGCTCAGGGGTTACTACTCCTGTCTCTGTATCCACGGCGATGCTTGGGGGACCATATGGGATGTGGGGAATCGAACCCAGATTGGCTACATGCAAAGCAAACGCCTTCCCACTATACCGTCACCCCAGCCACGGGGAACCTTTTTTTTAAAGGGAGTCTTTCTGCTGGACAGATACATAGTGGAGGATTGGCAGTGTGTGTCATTCGGCACTCACAAAGTCTGAGTTCAGGGCTGGAGTGATAGCACAGCAGGTAGGGCATTTGCTTTGCACGTGGCCGACCCGGGTTCAATTCGCAGCATCCAGTGTGGTTCCTTGAGCACCGCCTAGAGTAATTCCTGAGTGCATGAGCCAGGAGTAACCCCTGAGCATCACTAGGTGTGACCCAAAAAGAATACACACACACACACAGTCTGAGTTCTTTAACCATGAAGAGGTTCCGGGCCCATGTCCCCCAGAGCCTGGCGCCACGATGTTGGATAAGATCTCCGGGGAATGGGCTTCCAGCACAGAGTCACCGGTCTGCCTTGGGGTGCAGGGCCACCCACAGGACGGCCCAGGCTGCCCTGGAGGTACATCCCACGGGTGGAGGAGGACGTGTCCAGTGGCTCCCAGCCACATGGGCTACACTGCAGTTGGGGTGAGGGCCAGGGTGACGGCGTGGTTCCGTGAGGCTCCCAGCTGGTACCCATGGTGCCACGGTTCCACTCTGTGTGCATGAGTGAGGCTCAGATTTGAGACTGTGGGTAGGGGTGGGGGGCCGTGGCAGGGGGGGCAGCCTGGTCTCCCCGCAGCGGGCACACTGGGGGCTCTGTGGCCGTCTGGCCTCACTCTGCTTTGAGTCTCCTCGTCCTTAGCTTTGTCCACTGTGGCTTCGCCCCAGAACCCCTGGTGACTCTCACCCCATGCTCAGCCCCCGTGCCGCGGCATCCCAGAGGAGCTGACATCCGTACTCCTCTTGGGTGAAACCGTCTGATTCTGCAGATATTGGAGCTCACTTTTCAAACCTGTCAGACCCGCCCAGCCAAACCAAACACATCTCAGGCAGAGTCCCAGTCCCCGGCTGCCGGGGGCCCCGGGGCCGTGCTGGGCTGTGTTTGCCGACTGCGGCTTGGAAAATGAGCCTCATGGGCTTATTCTAAGCCCCAGCACGCTCCCCCACCCCCGCCCCTGCCCCGGCCCTCGAGAGGAAGCCGGGGGAGGGGGGGAACCTTCCGTCACCCTTCACCCGCTTCCTCTCTGCAGGGGTGAGCACAATTGGGAGAGGGGGTCCCTTGGGCTGTCTCTCCTGGGTGCAGAGTTCTCTTGGGCTTGAGTCTTGGCCCGTGTCTTCTCTCCCCGTCCATCATCTGACCCGTCCTCCTGGTGGGCAGGAGTCTGCCGGCAGGTGGGAGCTGACTCTGGGGCAAGGAGGCTGGACTTTCTGGGGTCATTGTGCCCATTGACCTTTGTCCTTAACCTTCAGCTGCCCCTACCCCTTAATGCTGGACTCGTGACGGATCCTTCCAACCACCTGTAAGACCCCAGCTCTGAGTCCAGCAGGTGGATGGATGACCACTCCTCAGCCGTCACTGTGGCGTGACGGGGGTGAGTGGGGCCTCAGGCTGACCCCCTGCCTTGTGCAGTTCAGGAAGTGGACACCCTGGGCCCAGCAGTCTTGGAGGTGCCCCTGTTGTGTTCGGGTGCCCGTCAGTTTGGTCGCGTTCCTCCCGTCTTTGGGCTACGCTGGCTCAGAGCCAGGCCTGGCCCTTCTGAGATGTCTGGGGACGATGATTCGGGGCCGAGAGCCAAGCTGCTTTGGGGGAACTGCCTCGAGAGGGGAAGCGGCCCCCTGGCTGCTCTCTGCAGGGCCAGGAGCTGAGTTTAGAAACGGGAAGTGTGAGCGACCCGGAGCGGGTGCCGGGAAGGCCCCAGGGGAAGTGAGCTTGAAGCGAACACCTGATGTGGAGGAGGGGTGGGGGAATCTTCTGGAAGAGGGATCCGAGAAGGGAATTTTCTTTTAGTGGGGTGCACAGCTCCAGGGGACCCGAGGGGGTGCAGGAGGAGCAAGTCACATGGATAGTCTTTGAAACTGGGGCAGGGGGCAGCTGGGAGGGGTCTGGAGTCGAGGTTGCAGCTGCCTCTGCTGTGACCGTCTGGCCTCGCTCAAAGCAGAGTGAGGCCAGACGGTCATGTAGACAGTCAGGATTCCACCCCGGGCTCCGACGTCAGAGCACCAGGGTAGGGGAGCCTGGGAGGAAGCTCTCAACCATCTTTTAGTTGAGGGCGGAAGGAGGGGGAAGAGAAAGGGGTGGAGGAGGAGGAGGAGGAAGGGGGAGAAGGGAAGCCTTGGGGAGGGGCGACCCTCGAACTTAGCGGGTTCTGTTCCCGCAGAAAACTGGCCGAGGGTTTATCTCTCCACTGAACTAGGGCTGTGGTGGGATCAACCTCAACGCTTGCCCCCGACATTTGATTTTATTGCTTTCTTTTGTTGGGCCACACCCCCAGCAGTGCTCTGGGGAGCGTGTGATGCCAGGGCCGACTCCCCAGGCTCCCACACATGATCTTTACACTGCAGCCAACGAGCCACCTGCCCTCCCTGGCACCATCTTCAAGCGTGCTGGTTTGTCCGACCACCCCCCCTCATTTGTTTGATTCGGGGCCATACCCGGTGGTACTCAGGGCTGCCTCCTGGCTCTGCACTCAGGAATCGCTCTCAGCGGGGCTCGGGGGACCATATTGCCAAGGATGGAACCCAGGTTGGCCACGTGCAAGGCCAGTGCCCTCCCCGCTGTGCTGTTGCTCCTGTCCTGTTTGGTTTTTTTTCCCCCTCTTTGCCATTGGATTCCCAACCGCTTCTGCCCCTGGCACTGCCACCTGCCCGGTTTCTATCTTGTGTGCGTTTGATTTATTTTTCCGAGTGGCTAGTTAGCTCAGTTTGGTCCAGAAGACGGAAGGGATGCTTGTTTTCTGTCCCTCGCACCCAGCACAGTGCCTGACTTCAGGGTCCTTTACGTCTTCTCCTTGCTCTGCCCTGCGGTACCTGCCATGGTCCTGTGGCCACCACTATCTGCCCACTCGGAGCCTTAGTTTGGGAGTATCTGACACTCTGTGCTGTTGGTGCGATTGGGGGGCTTGGGACTCCCTGCCCACTGGGGTGTTGGAAGCTGTTCTCCTTTCATTAGCAGTTGCCTTTCAAAGTGTGGCTGTGAATTTTTCTCTCAAGTGCCTCTCACCCAAGAATTACCCCCGGAAGATTTGTCTGCTTTCTAAAACAAAGAAATCCTGTTTAGAGATTTTGATCTAAAAAATTTGTCTCTTCTGAGAGAGAATGTATTCATAACTTAGGAAATCTTAGACAAGTTTCCTCAGGGTGTTTGGTGTTTGACTACACCTGAATTCATCCATCCATCCATCCATCCATCCATCCATCCATCCATCTATCCATCCACAGCTTATCTGTGCGTCTGCCCTTCCTCCGTCATTCCATCCCTCCATCCATTACTGGCCCGAGTACCTACCTACTCATCTGTCACCTGTCTATCCATTCACCATCTTTAATATCTATATTCCCCATCCATTTATGTTTATCCACATATATCATCCATCCATCATCCATCCATCTGCCTGCCCATATCATACACCACCTGCGCGTCCACCCATCTCTCTCCTCATCCGTTCGCCCACTTGCCCATCCATCCATCAAGTGCCCATTTGCTCCGTGGTCAGGATTAAAATGAACGGGGCAGTTTGTGCAGATGTGTAAAGACCAAACCAAGAGTTGAGGCAGGGAGGTGTGGAGTAGTGCAGGGTTTCTAAGAATCATAGATGTATGAATGACTTGTACTATATATGTATATATATTATATATGACTTGTACAACATATATAAATATATATAAATGGCTTGTAAAATATATACATACTTTTTAAAATTATATATAATTAAAAATTGAATCACAGTGAGATACACATTTACAAAGTTGTTCATAATTAGGTTTCAGTCATATAATGTACAATGACCTGTCCCTTTACCTGTGTACATTTCCTACCACCAATGTCCCCAGTTTCCCCCCAACACCCCCCCATACCACCTGCATCTATGGCAGGCACCCCTCTCTCCCCACCCCACCCCCACACAACTCCCCAGCTTGGCCTTTCGACAAGGACCTGGCGAGGTTCCAGCCAGATACCCATCTGAGCTCCCCCCTGGCCCTGGGCCTCCACGCGGTGCCCCTGCCTCTCTTTGAGATACCATCTCCTCACTTCCTCCGACCTTGCACCCACGT